TCACAAACAACTCAAAAATATAATATACATTAAAAATTTTATTTTTAAAATCATAAATTTTTAAAAATATATTAAAATATTTTATAATTCCGCTATCAAGTAGGTATGCACCTAGGCACACATCAGACCCAACTTAAGTCCAACTTTTGTATTCATCTTACTTATTAGATGATAAAAGCCCATAACCCATTTGATCAACACGTGATTGATAAAAGTGTTTAGTAAGTTTTCTTTTTCTTTTTCCAACTTTTCTAACCTTTTATTTTATGGCTTACAAAGTACGAATATAAATTCAGTACTTCATCTACTTTAAATTCTATTTCTCTAAATTTTCGTTTTTGAACTCTCATCGGTAGATGTAGTTGCCTTCAATAGTTGGTCGTTGTTGCCTTCATTCGTTAGTTGTGGTTAATCATCTCCTTTATAAGTAAGTTTGTTTTCTTTCCCTTTTTTCAACTTTTAGGTTTGTAAACTCTCTCTCTAATTTTTTCTAATCTGAAAACTTTTCATCGGTAAATCAAATTATGAGATATCGTTCGTCACCAACATCACTCATCGATCCCACAATCAGTCATTGACGGTAGGTCATATTACTTTATTTTTGCCATGTCTTTCGTGTGTTCCATGTTCCATTTCTTCTTTCTTATGATTCATGTTTCCTTTGAGAATGGAAAATACTTTGTTCCACTGGTGTAATATCACTTAGGGCTATTCAAAAATATTTAAATGTGTTTTGTATGCATTATTATCTCACATTCCATCTCTAAGTGGTGAATTCCTAGATTGAGAATAATTATGAGTGATTAGATTTGCATATATTTTGTTGATAATTATTCCTCTTTGTTTATTTGATGTTACTGACTTGATTATGTTTTAACTCATTTTTGTGCATGGATTTATTTTCCAAAACCAACAGTACAAGGATAAAATCTGTAATTTTTATTTTTTTGGAATTATGGTCGAAGTTATGGGCAAGACTGATTTCGACATGGCATAATCTAGAAATCTAGTCAACAGTAGTTTCTAAAAAGTTGTTCAGTCAGCATTTTTCTAAAAGAATGATGGGCAAAATTATTTAGAGATTTTAAGTTTAAATTTTTAAGATAAATACTTTGGATAAATATTTTAAATTATTATTAGGATATTCTATTTTATTTTGAATATTTTCTTTTATCTTTAGGAAGTTTATCTCTTGTAATTCTCTAAGCTATAAATATCCCTTTAGGGTAAAGCTTGAAGTATGTACTGTATTTGATTTTGTTCTTTGAGGTTATTTTTATAAAAGTTTTATTTTTCTTCCATCTTTATTTTTACTTTAGTTTTTATATTCTTTTCAAAAAAAAATGCTAAGTATGATTTCTATCATGCTTAACTAAATTTTCATTTAGCCGGAACGCTTATTGATGACTCAATTCCTACTGTGAGAATTGAAAAGAACTTAACATTTTCATATAACATTCTCGATTTTTTGAAAACTTGATTTACCAAATGACCATCTCTTTAATAATCTTAATACTCTCACTTCAAAAAAATGTTGTTGATATGAAGGGTGTTTTGATTTACATTTTGGGAGGAAGAATTGGTTGGTCGTAATTCAATTTCTTATGAACAAACTTAGCGGTGGTCCGCCAAGGTAAATCGAGATCGGGTTCAATTCTCATTGAGACACAATAACCCAAGGCGGCTTTTCCAACGCTTAAAGTTGTATTGGTGTTAACTGCGATGGCCTCGGTTAGTCCAAGCAATGACTAAATTTCAAAGATAGAGTTAGGAATATTGGTTTATCATAGAGAAAAATAAGCTACAAAGGTTGGGCCTTGTATACTGTAACTGCCATGTATTCAGAAGTAAAATCTCTTTCGATGATCAATTTGGAATTGAGGAAAATGGGGCATTAGGCTACTTTTAATATATCATATTCTTTTTCAAATTTACTCTCGTTTTATTTCACAATTTGTTTTCAATTTACTTTGATTTTATTTTTTAATTATTTTTTAATTTTTTCTATTCTATTTTAAAACCCCATTTTTTTTTACTTGCTCGTTAAAAAAATGGATCAAAACAATTCAACATTAGAAGCTTCTTAGTCCCTACAGATCATTCCTCCTTCTCTTTAATACATTTTTATTTATTTTATTTGAGAATATGATATATTTATTTGACAATTATGACGCTTGTCAAATTGGCGCGTGGTAGGGGAATTCGACAAAGTTACTGATATTGTTTTGTTTTGATTTATGATCAGGTTGCATCCGGGAAAATTAGTATATTGTGAGCCTGAAATTGAAGCACTTGTTCGAAGAATACGTGGAGAAACACTTCAGAAAAAAAGACAACAACGACAATAACACTGTGAATCGCAACTAGATCCATATTCAAAAGCAACCTCTGAAACACAATTCACGTACGACAAAGAATAAGTTCAAATGGGTTATACAAACAATCCAAGAACTAGTTGCGACACTTAATGAGCAGTAGATGCTATGCATCGTATCCCCGAATGGCAAAACATCATTGGAGCTTAAGACGGGTCTAATCCATCTTCTGTCGACCTTCTATGGTATGCCGAACAAAAACCCGTACAAACATATCATAGAGTTTCATATGATTTGCTTAAGTATAAAATCATGTGGAGTATCCGAAGACCAAATCAAACTTTGTGCCTTCTCTTTTTCCTTAGTCGATTTGGCTAAAGATTGATTATTTTATTTACCGCCTAATTCAATTACTACATAGACTGATATGGCTCGGTTGTTTCTTGAAAGGTTTTCCCCTGCAATGAAGGTGAGCGAATTAAGGAAAAACTACTTAGGAATTCAACAAAAAGACAATGAGTCATTATATGACTAGTGGAAGCAATTCAAGAATCTTTACGTAGTTGTCTGTAACACGGACTATTGGAACAAGTTCATTGTGGTCAAATAGAAAAACATCTTTTGTTGCCACATCTTGAAATTTTGCGCTCTCCGTAGAATTTCATCCGACTTCTCGTTGTGGTTAACTATCACTGTCGATTGACTCCCATTCAGATTTGGATTCTGAATCGGTACAACTATTTTAGCATCCAAGTTGGATAAAACAGTGGAGTTTCATGTCTCCATTTTCTCTTTCAAAGAAACGGAACCGAAATTAGAAATAATTCCATTAAACAAAAATTAAGTATTGTGTATTTTAGATTTTGTTATCTGTCAAAATATTATTTGAAACAAAATCAGTAATCAAAGTTAGTTTTTCGATAATTTATATTAAACAAATTTGTTAACTTTGAGATTTTAGTAAACCCGTTAAGATAGCAGGATAAACCCGAAAACAAATTATTTGCTATCTCGTTTATCCCATAATTTATGAATCATCTTGGATTAAGAAAGATAGAAGAATGATATAATATGTCTTAATATTTTATACAAAATAACAATCCAAGACGAAATCGAACATGAGGAAAATAAGGGAAACAGAATAAAAAATTTAAAATTTCGTTAAAAATAAAAGCAAACAAATAGGAACAAAAATACTCTTTTATTTTGATCTTTTGATTGGAAACAGTTGAGGCTTGTCGTTACATAGTTTCCTTAAGATAGGTTTTCAGTAACTCCTTAGTGTTTAAGATCTTTTGGTTATCTGTCTCCCAGATACAACAATTAGATGATCAACTAAAGTAGCACAATAGTAGAGATCACGAACTATTCTTACTTTCGTCTATCATCGAAAAACTAAGAAATAGAGAATAATTTTTCAAGAAAATAGAAGTTCTTGAGTTCTAATATATGAAAAACTTAGCATGTTAGCTCAATATTTATAGGCAATTTTCAAGAGAGTTTTACTCCAATCAGATATCTCTTAATATCCAAAATTAAACAGATACTAATATATTTTAATTTAAAATATTCAAAAGATATAAATTCCTTTTACTATTTAAACTTAAATAGATATTATTTTAATTTAAAATATTTAAAAGTATATAATTATATTTTTAATATTCAAAGTTAAATAGATAATAAATATCTTTTTAATTTGACATATACAAAAGAATACTTATTCTACTAATATTTAAAATAAAAAATATCTTTTAATTTATAATATTTAAAAGTAAAATGAATTTAGTATAAATATTAAATAAATCATTTTTTCCACAACAGTATGGCTGCTGGGCCTTGTACCTGTTCCTCTAAGCTACGTTATCCGCCTCTGCATTTCAGAATAAAAGAGTTGTTATGTTTAAGCATTTCAGAAGCTAAAGAAAAAGATACCATCTCCCTCAACAAATGGGACTAAGGAAGCTTATGCAATGCCCTCAAACCCCCCATTGCACCAATTAAGGTGACTCGCAACGAGAAGTAGTCAGTGGTTTATTACTGTTGGCATAATCTACTCTTCTTTGGTCGTGGATGTTAAATACCCTACTTCATTGGACCATGTCTTGGACGCATGTTTAAGTCAAATCCATAGGACAATTCAAAAGCAAATAATATTTTATATATTTATATCATGCAGTTGTTTGTATGCTATGCAAGTAACCTGAGTCCCATGAAGCACAAACATTAGACATTTATGCTTCTGCTGGCTAGCCTCCCCTCCCCTCCCCTGACCAAATATCCATCCTTTCTCCGTCTTAAAGTGGCCAAGCCAGCTTTACAACGTCCTTCACTCATTCGAACACTAAATTTTCAAATAAAAAATTATTTTTACTTTTCATATGAAATTAAAAAAAAAACATGGAAAGCTAAGACAGATTATAGGAGAGATGGATAGGTGAATAGATATGTCTTCAATTGTCCTCCAACCACAGAGCTCGTTCTGTCTTCCCCCAAATATGGACTTCTCTATTCCCACATTTACCCTTCTCTGTATCCCTCCTTCCATCACTCCTCCAACTCAAACCCTTCCCTTGTTCTTCATGGGCTTTTTCGGGTTCTCACTACCATGTTCTTCAAAGCACACCACAAGTTTTCTTTTTTTTTCCTCCCCCCGTCTTCCCTTATTATTTCCTCTCTTTTTTCGTATTTCTATTTTCCCTTTCGATAGAATCCTTATCCTATTCAATTCTGAATTCTGTGGGGTCTTGCTTTCTCTCCAAGTTTTGGTTTTTTTTTCTCCTTATCGGAATGGGATACTTTTTCCTGGGTTATAAATTTTAGGGCACAAGGTTGCTCTTTTAAGGCCTTCCGAGTCCTGGTGTGAAGTTTTATTGTTTATTGAGTTTCAATTTTAATAATTAAGATGAAAAGGGTTTCTCTGGTTGATGAAGAAACTAGGGCTAGATTGAAGCATCAAACCCTACTCCAGGAATTCTTGGTTTTGCAAAAGGTTAGTCCTTTGCCTCAATTACTCTGTTTATGCGTTGTTTTGATCATTGAACTCTTCTTTTTATCATCAATTCGATTGCTTTATCCTCTTGTGCTTTGATGTTGTGTAGCCTGCAGGACATTGACATTGAGTTTGTTTCTGCCTAAAATTTCTCTAGTTTTCTTAGTCCATGAGTTGATAGAAATTGATTCCCTTAGAGTGTAGCAAATGTTGAATGTCCAGTTATATCATGAATCTACTTTGTTTTGTGTACTTGAGTTAGCAGTTAATTCTTTCTTGTCAATCACTGCTAGGAATTTGTTTCGAAAAAGAAAAAACTTCCAGTGATGAACCAGAAGCGAGACTCTCTCTTGGCCGAAGTTAGGTATGAGATCTCTTATGGATTTTTTCCCCTTCATGTTTTAGATATTGATATCGAGAAGAATACACGACAACCGACTAAAATCATCTTGCTTTTCTTCGTAATCCTAGATTCTTGCGGCGGAGGTGCAGCTATTTATCGATGATCAAGTCTCAAGAGTATGAACAGCAGCAAGATTCTGTTCAATCACAAAATCCCAACCGACAAAGCAAGTTGGCTAAGCCTAAGAGTCTGGCTATCAATAAAGCCGGTAAAAGAAGACTGTATTCTCTTCCCGATATCGATCTGAATGTGGTAATCAACTTGAATTTTTTAGCATTTGTTGTGCTATTAGTATCATCAGCCGTCATATTGGGAATACATTCGACTATTTTTCGCATTGCAGGTTCATGAAGAAGGAAGTGGGAAAAATCAAGGAAATGTTCAGGCCCCGTCACAAAAGGAGAAGAAGCCGAAAAACCGTTTGAGTAACAGCAAAAGAGTTGGGAAGAAGAAAATAACATGGCAAGATCCAGTGGCTTTGAAGGCCTGAATCAAATGAACAATAATATTTTCACACAGTTTAGCAGTTAAAGCAAAGGTGGGAGCAAGAGTTAAATGTCTCCCTGAAAGAACATTTTATTGGCATTGCTACAGCTTATTATTATCAGTGCCTTATACTTCTTTTCTTTAGAATTAATTGTAAATCAGGGAAAGTTTACCCAGTTTAAGCATACATATGAATACATTGATTGCTCGTTAATCGAATAAGTAAAATCTTTCTGTTCCTAGTTTTGACAATGTTTTTGTGGTCTGTTTAACTGGCAAAACCTTGAATGTCCCAGAATCTGAGCGTCAAAAACTCTAATTTATGGTAACCTGTAAGAAATATGTTACCAACTCTACATCTTATTACTGAAATTGTCACATTGTGTTATTTTAAGAAATACAAATATCCCCATTTAATGATTCAAAACAAGAAACAAAAAGGACATGCTTTCTTTCTTAATATGTCATCAATTCAGTTCCTGCTCTAAGCCTATGCATGTTAGAATATTCGAGAAAACAAACAGGTTCTTAGATTCCAACAACAGTTGCAGCTACTATTCCTGATTTCCTTCTTGCTTTGATTCAGTATCGAATGATTTAGAATCATCCATCGAAGATGAAACAGACTTGATTGGTTTTTTGAACTGCACCAGGACCATGGTCATATTGTCGCAACCCTCACCGGTGGCTGTTGATGGTGCTAAGCACTTGTCAAGTACTCTCTCACAAACAGTAGAGAGTTTGCTTTCCTGCATTGTATGCTAGAGTCCATACTGAGCGTACAATTATTAAAAAGAAAGGGCATAGAATGACCTTGAATTAAATTGACCTACAGCTAATTTGCTCGCATTCAAGCATACAGACTGATCAAAGTAAGAAAGGATCAAGTACATACAGAATGTAGTTGTTCGTGGATAAAATCTACTAGCTTCTGACTTGACATGCAATCCCTGAAATATTAAATCAAAATCAAGATGGCATTAGATACTAAATTCAAGATTGATAAGGAGTCAGAGTCAAGAGTACATATATAGCTAATCAGCTAAATAAAGTTTTTAAGCGAGATAATTGTAACATTATCTACCAGGAGAAAGCATTAGATAATATATACCAAATTCCATCACATGCCAGCACAAGGAAGTCATCGTCATCACAAAGCTCAACCTAATTGAATTTGTATGATGTAGAAGGTTAGATACAACAAGCTCCCAAGATTTTTAGGATTGATACTTGAATATCAAAGCCAAGGTGGAATGGTTAATACTACAGTGATACGACACTTGCAGTGTTTACATCAGGATTTGCAGTTACAATTTGCTTTTCAGCAGGTAAAAACTTATTCTGCTTGAACTCAATGTCACCTGCAGGAAAATAAGTTGACAGATTAAAACATCTCTCTCTATCCCAATGATGAATAAAAATACTATATATGCATGGCTGCATACACTTGATTGGAGACTATGGATGTATAAAAATGTTACAATTTGTTAAGGAAAAGAAAAGCACTTCTTGCCGAGTTGTATATGTCCTCTATCTTTGGGAAATCCAAGTGACTGAAGTCAAGAGTAGAATCAGAACTTCTGTTTCTAGATATCAATCAAGGAGGTAAATTACCTATAGCCCTTGCAAGATTCAAACAGACATTGACACGTCCTCCATGTATAAAACCACCAGCCTTTAAAATCCTTTCTTTCTCAACCTCAAGATCAGGTTTGTGATCTCTAGAGAGATTGTATGCCTAAGAAAGAAAGAAAGAAAGAAAGAAGCAAGGTAAGAACAAAAAATAAATATTATTTACTCGGAAGGAATAATTATTCCACATAGTTCAACATACAATACCCAGCTCATCCACATATAATCTCTGTTTCAGTGTCCATTCAAATGAAACTATCTAATCACATCTGATTATTTTAACATTACCTGACCATTTCTAGATATTACACAAAGTGAGTCACCAGCATTTGCAACAACAAGCTGCTTGTTTCTTAGAACCGCAACACAGGCTGTGCACCCCGATGTTGGTCCAGAAAAGTCAGAGTGAGGGCCCTGATAAAGTATAAGGAAACACTTATAAATTATATTTACAAATTGTTGCAATAAGAAAACATCAAAGCAGGAAAGTAATGGATGAATGCTAAATTTATGCAATCACAGACAAACCCAAATTGCACAATTAGATCCCTGCCCCAACCAAAAAGTAAGTGCAGCTTAAGATGTTAAGTTTCAATACAGCGGTATATTCTCTGCCATCCCGGCTGCATTGATAAACTGCATAAACTTAGAATTAACATACACATCAAGTTCTATTCTTCCTCCTCAATCTTGGTTTTCATCATAGTTTGTGGCCAATGCCAAACCTCACTTCAGCATCTAGTCAAGGACAATAACATGGGTATATTTTCGTAAGTACTTCCTTAAAAGCCCAATTATCAACTTGGTCACTACTGTTACCACTCCTAGGAGACCATATCAATCCTTCTATCATGCCAGTAAACTTGTTGAATTTATCACCCAAAATGGCTAATTCTCTCCATCCTATTTGTCCATACATCACCTCATCCATTCTGCGTCAAAACGTAACTCAAGTTGGAAACACATGAAATGAACAATGGGAAGGGCATTCAAACTATGAAAAGGGAGGCTGAGCAAGATGGAAAATCATGGAAAAAGCATTTTGAGCTTTGATGGAAGGTTCTACAAGATAGAAGAACATTAAGAATCTGAAATTTAATTAGCTAGAAATTATAAAGGTCAAAATCACAATATCTATGCTAATGATGAGATACAAAATTTGAGTACATTGTTTTAAGAAATAACATATCAAGATTATGGTATCATAAAAGATATGACAGTTAAATTATTGAGAACAATTGAGTCAATTTACTTTTCAAGCTCCTAAAACTGTAATAATAAGCATAGAGATAGTATTTCAACATGAAAAGCGTGTGAACATAATGTTTATAGGATAACTTAACCTTGTGAAATTCATAGTGACATATTAGCAGCTATAGATAGGTGGAAGAAAAAGAAAAGTTACTTGCACACTTCAAATCCCCAATATTGTTGATTCCCATGATTACTAGCATCTATTAAACACCAATCCCCAATATTGTTTATAGGATGATAAAGATACATTACTACTAGCATGTACTAAACACAAAATCCCCAATATTGTTGATTCCCATGATAAGGAGAACATAGTGAACAACAAACATGAGATCCATAATGAAATAACCTTAGAAATGCTCTCTGAACCGATGTTCCTATGTCCCCAGCAGCAAACACTTCATTCTTGAGAACTTGCTGATGAAGATATTTGGCGCAGATTTTGGCAACCACCTTACCTACAAGTTCTAAACTTGGATAAGTTGAAGAAATCTAAACACTGGCCATTAGTAAGACGCTTAATCATATTAGGATCGAAATTAAGTGCAGTAAAAAGAGTAATTATAAGAACCCTTTAAAGAGAATAAGTTTATTAAGCATTCACTAACACCAAACCTAAATGCCTTAACAGAATCATTTGAAAGGTAAAACATTTCAAGATCCTGCCGCGGGTTCAAGTTCTAAAAGGGAAAAAGAATAAATACAAAGTACCTGAACCATCCAAGTCTTACCTCCATGACCGTCATAAACACCAAAGAATGAAGTAGAAGCATCGAGATCAGGATATGCAGCATGCTTACATATTGAACTCCCCTTTTATCATTTTTCATATCATGCATTAAAGATTTTAAAAACCAATTTTTGTAAATAAAAATCAATCTTGAGAGGCGGAATGAATCCTAAAGATATTCTCTTTTACTTAGAAATCCATGTATGATTAAAATGGACTTTTCAGGTACGTAACGTAGGCCATGGCTTATGGTTACGAAAGAAAGGGATAAAAAGGCTCAAATAAGTGTTTAAGGGTAATCAAACCAAGGATCAATTTATTATGATGCCTTCACCTTGCCTTGCTTAACTTGGATCTGCTTTGTTGGGGATTTTTCCATCATTTGGATCCCTCTAGACTGCCAAATTTTGGATTCATTTCCATTTTCTCATATCTCCAGCATTTCTTGCTTTTCTTGTTCGTACTTGATCAACCTTGTAACTTGAGGCTCAATAAGTCACCCATCTTGATTCAATTTTCCTTTTTCTTCTTTTTTTTTTTTTTGCTTTTCCATTTTTCTTTTTTCCTTCTTCTTTTTTTACTGGATGAGTATAATACTTCAATTGCTTTGAGCACCTTCTTTTCCTTTTGCATTTTGGAGGTTTTCCATTATTTTTGATTGGATTGATCTTCAAGCACTATGTATTTGACATACCTTGTAGTTCAAAACTTTCATGATTTCATGGAAACTTGTCTTCGTAATAAAAATGTATTGACAATCTTTATTCTTGTGAGCAAATATCCTTCACCTTGCCCCCTAATGTGGAGGGTGATCCTTGGTTAGGGTTGAATTAGAAGAAAAATTATTCAGGCTCAAATGGGGACAACAAAGGATATATATATATATATATATATATATTAAAGGATAAATGAAACAATGCCGTTCGTCATCTCATACACATAAACCTTTGTAAAAAGAGGTATCTCTAGGGGGGGTGAATATTCAAGATTAATTTTACTTACATGAAAAATGTAATTAATTCATGATATATTTATTTCAATCAATCACTTTCCCCTTCTTCTTTGAGTATGCCCTAATCACTCGAAATTATCATCAATGAGTTGGTCCATGATGCCTCATCTCGTCTCTTCTTGCAGTAAAATTCACGGATAATTGAAAGTTTGGTTCTTTTGAGGTCTTTTGGTTTATGATGGTTTTGTGTTTGGAAGGATAAATGTGTGACTCTTAAAGTCATGTATATGGTGGAAGGTAATATCATCAATCAACTCTATCCGATAAGGTAATCATCTAGAGTTGGTGTTTCAAAAACAGGTAGAGACATTTCTTCAGAGTCTCAGATAAATGTAGTATCAAGATTTGGTTTTGGTAAAGGTCGAGTAATTGGCATTGGATGGGATATTGAAGATATAATTTTACCACTTTCCAATAGATCTATAACTCTTGAAAAATTAAAAGAATATTTAATCTACTTGATACTCAATAATCTCAAGATTAAAATTTGACTCCTTGCTCATAACCATAAAAGAAACACATATTTATTTATTGCACAAAAGGCGGAGAAAGGAACAAAAAACATATTCAAACAAGATGCTGAAAATAGAAAGTACTATAGTGGTAGATAATACTTCCTCTTGTTTATGCATCATTACTCCTCTATTGTTGGGTGTGTACTTGGCCCAGGATTTTTATCCTTATTTGCCCCCCATTTCTTGATCATTTCTTGTGTCAAGACTCCCTTGTCGATGAGCGTCTCTATTTCCTTTAACAGTGACCAACAATTCTCTGTTGAATGTCCAGATACTCCCAAGTGAAAATTACAGAAGCTATTTTGATCATAACAATGGGCATAAGGCTTTGGTGACACCTTTACCAATCTTGGTGTAATGTATTGACCTTTAACCAAATGAGGGTACAGGTCTGAGATAGATTCTTGAAACACCTTCAGAGTTTTTCTCGCTCGCGATGCTATCACTTTCTTTGATCGTTCTGAACGAATGAATGCTCTCATGTTATCGAGAGGGTTCTGAATGCTCATTTCAGCTATAATTGGGGTAATATTAACCAGATTTCTTATGTTGTCCTTTTCCTTACTGGTTTTCAGAAAATCTGATACATGTATCTGAGGTGTCTTCTAGGTTATATCTGCCTCATTCTTTCTTAGACCTATAGACCAATCTCGAATTACATCCATAGGAGCCTTTTGATTTCTTTTCCCATTTTCTTGTGCCCGATATTCTTCGTAGGATTTGGTTACATTAGTTTTTGTTGCAACAACGGTTTCTGAACATTGAACCTTAACCCCTTCTTTTATCTTGCATTTTTGAATTGCTTGCTCTAAAGGGTCTTGGAAATTTCCCTTAAGGTTACCAGGAACCTTAGCTGAACAATTTGGAATTCCAGTCTGATTTATCCAAGGAACTTCCTTATAGGTCCAATTCTCATTTGGAGGCCACTGTGATTGATCAAGTTGTGGAGTAATTGATCTGGCTGAGAGCATTTTTGGATGCAATTTTTCACTCGAACAATGGAAGGGAGAAAATTGAAATCCCTGCACATTCTTTTTCTTCTTGATCACTCTATAAGGTTTGGCACCATGTTTAACTGAATAAGACCTCGCTGTATTAACTCCAGCTTCTTTCTTGACTTTAGTATTGTCAGAGCCTCTTATCTTGCCATTCTTGATAGCCATTTCGATGATTTCTCCACTTATGATGATGTCAGAGAAATTATTAGGGACAACCCCTATCATGTGATTAACATAAGGAAATTTTAATGTGCTGATGAACAAAGTAGTGAATTCTTTTTCAGTCAATGGTGGATGTACTTGAGAAGCAACGTCTTTCCATCGTTGTGAATATTGTCGAAAGCTTTCATTGCACTTCATATTCATGCTTTGTAACATTGTTTGATCAGGGGCCATATCAGTCATGTGCTTGTATTGACCCAAAAAAGCTTGAGCTAAATCCCTCCAAGAACGTATTTGAGTACGTTTTAGCTTATTATACAATCTGGATGCAGACCTTAATAAACTATCTTGGAAACAGTGGATCAACAACTTTTCATTCTCTACATAGCCAGTCATACGACGACAATACATAGTGATATGATATAAAGGGCATGTGGTCCCATTATACTTCTTAAAATCTGGAACCTTGAACTTTGGTGGAATAACCAGGCCAGGGTCCAAACTTAGTTCTTTGGCATCAAACCCATAAAATGACTCAACTGTCTCTATAGATTTTATCACCTCTTCTATATTTTCCAGTCGCTGAGTGAATTTTTCCTTCTCAACTGATTTGTTTAGGTCAAGGACCTCATTACTAATACAAAATTCATCAGGCTTCAACTCAGAAGTAGTAGGACAATCAGTGGGGAACGATGCTCCAGCTTGATATGGTGAGTTCTTAACAGCGAAGTAAATCGGTGATTGAATTTCCTGGGGTACAGAGGTGAACTCAGGAATATGAACAGGTGTAACATGCAAAGAATTTGTGGGGTTTTCAACAAGACTCTTTCCAGCGGTCTGGTGCTTCTCAATCATTTCTTTCATATTATTCAGTAGATCGATATGAGAATTTGTGATATTAGCTTCAATTTGTGCCAACTTGCTCCTCAATTCCTCTTGTATCTCTTTATGCTCTATCTCAAATTTGGCTAGCCTATCCTCAGTTTCTTTAGACATTTTTCTTGTGTTGTGCTAAGCGTTCTTCTACAAGGGAGAACCAAGATTACTTCGGTTGAAATCCTTATTTTAATGAATGAATGTTTTAACGTATGAATATTAGTTTGAAACTATAAATGTAACTATACAAATATGCAAATGTAAAGATGTAAATGTAAAAATAAAATAATACAAAAGCAAACAACAAATGCAAAATGAAAATACAAAAATGCAAATGCATGTATGAAAAGGTGTTACTAAAGAGTGATCATCTTAGAACAGATTTCATTGAACACAAAAGTTTCGGTACATCAAACAAAACTTTACATATAGGGATATATTTCATTCCTAACTTCTCCAAATCCAAATTAGTCTATCAGCTTAAGGGACATATTGCTTGTCTGGACTGCAACTTCTTTCATGACATTCTCTTTCATCTTCTGTGTCACTTCTCATTTTCCCTTGTAAGAGAACCTTTCTGTCCAAGAAGTTCTTGAACAAGATCTTTATATATGTTGCAGTTCTTTTTCAGCTTGGTGACCCCTGTGATCCACTCTTCTGGGGTGTTTCCTATGCCAGCATTTTGAAAGGCTTGACTAATCTTCTGGAAATCTTCATGCATGGCTTCCATTTTTGTGCTCAATTTCTTGTTTTGGTCCTTCAAATAACACGTTTGAGCTTCATAAAAACCTCCTATATTCTGTGTGTTCCGACTGATACTCTTACCATAGACTGCTTTTGGTATCAATCTGGCAGGATCTTTGTGGAGTACTTTTGGTATTAATATAACAGGATCTCTGTGTGCATTGCTTGCTTCTATCCTTAGGGTTTCCTCAGGATGTCTTTCCTTGGCCGCATCATATTTTGTTTGATCATAAAACTTTTTGTCCATTTACGATTTCTTTCCAATATGATGAACAGTCTTTCAAGTAAACACCTTTTGGTTATGCCATGATCATGCAATGCAAGCAAAAAAAATAAGAAAAAATAGAATAGTTAGTACCAATTAATGGAAAAAAAAATCTATTTATCAAGGTATAAATCCTAACCTCATGCTTTCTAGTTCCATGCTTTGTTTGGAAAAATTAGCTTAACCACATGATTTTTAGTTTGCATACATTTATTCAGGAAAAAGAAAAGGAAATAAAAGCTAGAACTTATTTCTCCTTTGTGTATACCTACTGACAAAATTTCGCTATGGTTTCAGATCGGGAGATGTTCTAGGTTTAATATATGCAGGGCTTCAGTTCTAGGAGTAAAGGTACTCGAACTATCCTTGTTGATGCCCCCTTGGGCTGTCAAACCCTCAATCCTAGTCCATCACAGACTTAAGCGGATCGAGTTCAATTCGAGGGGACACATTTCTTTATGCCTGACACGGAGAATAAATTCTCACGAAGACGTCGCTTTCACTCTCACTTAAAAAGGGACAAGCTTGATTAGAAAGCTTTATGTTATGCAATGCAAGTGTTGTGTGTGAGGAGAAATGTTCAAACCTCTGACAAACAATTAAATGAAAAATTTAATATTTGAAAATAAAGTAAAAATAAAAAATATAAAAAATATTATGAAAATCATAAGTAAATAAATTTTTGAAAAAAGAATTAAAAATTAAATAAATAAATTTTTAATTTCTAATTAATAGAGACAATTTATAATTAATTTCAAAGCATGACCAGTCCCTAGTGGAGTCGCCAAGCTGTCGTAATCGAATTTCGTCCGGGCACGAATTTTTTACTTAGCGGGAAAAGTGATGTGAATAAATGGTTTTTAAAATAATTTGAGAGTCGCCATCGGCCTTTTGGGTCAGGTAGGTCGAATACCTAAAAATCATCCTTTAAAAGAGTTTTTAAGAAAACATCAATTAAAAGATAAACTGATCTGCGTTTTAACCAAAAATTCGTTCTTTTTAATAATAAAAAGGGATTCGTGGTCGGTTACGTTTAGGGAAGGATTAACACCCCTACAACGCCCAAAATTGGTACTTTTTAATTATAAATTGTCTCTATTATTAGAAATTTAAAAATTCAAATATATATTTAACTTATAATATTTTTATATTTCAAATTTATGATTTTATGAAAATATATTAATATAAATAAGATATTTATTTATTTAGAAATATCAGAAAATGACTTCTAAGTGCTTTAAGACAGCTCTTTTCTTTGATATAAAAATAAATAAAACATTTATTAAAAGTTAATATAGGATTTATAAATATAGGATATTTAGTAAAAATATCAGAAAACGGACTTCTAGGTGTTTTAAGACAGTCCTTTTCTTAATATTGAAAAATAAATATATATTAAAATATGATTATTAAAAGTAATTTATGAAATATAGGATTTTAATAGAAAACAAATAGAATAAAAAAAAATATTATTATATATATATATATATTTATTTATATAAATAATAAAAATAATAATAATGAAATAATAATTAAAGCAATAATAATAATAAAATAATATTGCAAATAATGATTAAAATAAAAGGAATTAAAACTATAGTATTAAAATGTAAAATATTAAAAATAAATAGTCAAAAATGAAAATTTAATGATTAAAATGTAAAATTATAAAACTAGATTCCTAATTCGAAATATATAAAAGATGGGCATTAAAAGTGTAATTTAACCATAATTCATAATACGGGATTAAAATAATAATTACTAAACTATGAGGGACTAAATTTGATATTTACCCTAAATATATATATATGCTAATAAGGACTAAATTAAAATAAAATAAAATTAGAAGACTAAACTAAAATAATCAGAAATCAATTTTAGTGACTAAATTGTAATGATTACAAACTTGGAGCATTGCAAACAAGGTTTACCCTCTTCCCAAAACGCACCGTTTCATCATGAAACGGCTTCGTTTTATATCGGGTATAAATACCCTAAATGGCTAGCCCGAAGGGCAGCATCCTCATTTCTTCTCTTCTTCTTATCTCTCTAGTTGAGAGAAAAAATATTTTCTCTACCTTCTCTCTAAAACCCTCCATCGGAGGGAGTCCAATTCCGGCCGGCAGCCGTACTCCGGCGTCGACACCACCGTCGACCACCGTACATGGTGGTCGAAATTCTGGAAAAATGGCCTAAATCGAAGCTCTATTTCCCCAAAGCCCAAATCTAACCTTTTTTTCGTCTAAAACTCTTCCACTAAACGTAAATCTAAAAAAAACCAAAGGGTTCTACCTTCGATTAAACGACGGTTCAACGACGTTTGGCTTCCGTTTACAGAATAGGCTTCAAAGGTAAGTCTCTTTCTTCTCTTTTCTTCCGTTATTTCCGAATGATCGCTTGATGGTGTTGCTGTCCCCTTTGCTCTTGGGTTCTTCATTTCTGTTTTTCTTCCCCCCTCCTCTGTGTTTGTCTCCCTCTTTCGTTTTGCAGGATCCGGTGGCTTTTATAGCCACCACGGAGCCATGCTCGAACCGGTCCAGAGGGGGAAGTTCGGTGAGTCACCGAGCTATGTGGTGACTCACCCCATAGCCGCAACGTGTGGGGGGCAGCTGGATCTTCTGGAGCGTTCTGTTAAAGCGGTGGCAGCAACTTCCTGAGGCGGCGGGGTGGCAGCAGTAAGGGAAGCAACGACGTGGCCCTAGGGTGATGATACTCTAGGGTTTCCTCTGGCACATCTGGGGACCGTTGGATCAAGGCCAGATCCAACGGTTGAGAAGAAAGGCGACCGAGAGATGATGCTGAAACCCTAAGAGAGTTTAGGGTTTGTTATTAGGTTTGGGCCAGTCTGGTTTGTAATCAGGCTTATGGTTTTGGGCCTGCAACGTATTAATTAATTATTTAATAAATATAATATAACATAATAATAATAATAAATAATATAAGCAAATGAGAGAAAAAAAACTAGTGTCTTCACAGTTGATGGGATTATAGCTAATCAAGAAACTGCGTTGGCCATGGGAAAAGGTGCTGCTATGAAGGAGTTAATGGATCTCCCACTTGCTATTATCACTTGTAGGGGGTAGAGAAATAATGGTTGCACAGCTATTAAGTCTGGAAGATGCCGAAAAGCAGAGGGGTTATGAACTATATGATGAGTTGAAACAACGGTCTAGTTATAGTTGGTGTTCTAGTGGACAGAGAGGTGCGCAAGCGTTGAAGCAGAAGCAGTGCTATTGTCTGGACAGACTCGTTATGCAGATGATGAGACCCCTTTACAACGCGAAGGATCTGTACCTCTGACCGAAACCCTTCCAATCCCACAGCCTGAACTAAAAGCGTTCACAAAGAAAGAGAATTTCGATCCCGTTTTACCAGCCTCAAAATGGGCCAGGGAGGACAATGACTGTGATGATGAAAGGAAGAGAAGCTCCCAGGGTCTGGGGTTGAGCTATTCATCTTCTGGAAGTGAGAATGCTGGTGATGGTCCTAGTAAGACTGATGAATTGGAGTTTGGAAGTAAGCTAAACATCCCAGTTCTATCTGAAAGTGCAATGAATGAAGAGAAGAGGTATTACAATTTTTAATTATAATATTTTCTTTATTTCTTGATGCTCTACAGAAAACAAAACAAAATTTTCTTATTGACTCTTAACAACTGCATTCGCTCATGAAGTCCTCAACATTACTTTTTTCATGTATATAATACCATAGGCAAAAGTTAAGGAGACTGGAGGTTGCTCTTATTGAATACCGAGAATCCCTCGAGGAGCAAGGAATTAAAAACGCTGAGGATATTGAGAAAAGGGTTGCGTTTCATTGAAAACATCTTGAATCTGAATATGGTTTATCATATTCCGCTGAAGATATTTCAGGAAGAAGTTATTTTGCCGGTTGACAAGATACTGATACTTGTAAAGACTAGCAGCGTGTATGTTTCAAAATTGAATGCATACAATAATGTCATTTTTTACACTATTCAAAATGCAGAAAGAACATCAAGAGAGAAGAGAGAGATGCGGGGATGATATGTATGACTCTTCAAGAAAGCGGCATTGGAGTCAAAGCCAAAGTGAGTGCCCTCCAAGAAAACCATCAGACAGGCAGTGACAGGGTAAACGATTCAGAAAAGGACCGTGAAAGGCACAGAGAAAGAGATAGATATCATGATGTGAAAAATGAAAGGGGGGAGAGATAGGGAGCGAGACCGATGGGAAAAGAGTGGAAGCAGAGAAAGGGATGATCATGACAGAGATAGAGGTAGAGAGGGAGTGAGGGATATCATCAGAAGGCGAATGAAATGAGAAAGGGATGGCCTGCCTTATTAGCATGGTTTGGGATGAGGAGATGACTCGATTTATCTCGGATGCTTAAGCAGCACCTGTCATTGGGAAGTTGGTTTCCAACGGAGCTAGAAGCGGCAGAACTCCATCTGGGACTGGCCACGAGAAGAAATCTGGTTCTTTTCTTAACCATCTTGTAGTAAAATGTACGACTCTTATTATTTTGGTGGTTTTCCTTTTAAAAATCAAGTATTTTAGAAAACATTGGTTAAGTTGAGAAAGGCGTATAAATAACGCCTAGCGAAGAAACTCTTCATTGAGATATGCCACTCCCTAGCTTCCATTGATTTCAATTCAACTGAGTTGATTCCCTTCTCTTGAGAGACCTGACCTGTAAAAGAGTATCAAGTGACTTCGATTTATGTGAATGATTATAGTCAACCATAATCTACAATCAACGCTGTTAACATGAGAGGTCAACTCGATGTTGTTGGGTTCTTCAGCTTCGGTTTTGGTCTTCATCTCGTCTTTGCAACTCAACATTTCTGTAGGAAGAGAGGAGGAAGTGGGATCACCTCTTGGTATCAAAAACAGATTCTCGGAGTGGTGAAAGTCTCAACACGTTTCGAATCAACATTGCCAGGCGGTCATAGATTCTTGAACATCGTACCATGAAGATGAGAGGAGTTCAACATTGTCAATGAACATGAGCAAGGCAAAGAAGGGTGGCTGAAGGACAAAGGTTTGCAGTCGGTACAAGTATGAGGCATCCATTTGTGTCTCAAAATTAATTGAAAACAAATAGATAATCCGGTATTCTGAATTTCAAGTTTATTCACATCAAATCTAGCATCCCTATTAAACCATAGAATAGCCAAATCTCTGAAAGGCTCGTCTTTCTGCTTGGTTTGGTAGTCTTGCTTGGCACCAATTGAGAAAATGGAATACTCACCGGCATTACATGAGAGAATAAGGGAATCTCTGTGTACCAATAGAACAATCCCTCATTAATATTCAAGCTCAGTGCAAAGGATAAATACGTGTATAAACATGGCTTCAACGTGGAAGCATTTTAAGCCAATTAATTGGAAACCCCCCCCCCCCAAAAAAAAAAAAAAAAAATTAACACAACCCCCATCTTCCTCCACCATAAAGGCAACAATATTGATCCGTGTCAACTCAGTTTCTTGGACAAAGATAAATGTGCTAGAGGAAGATGAAAAGGATGTTAACCCAGTTTATGAATGTCAGAGTCCGTCAAGACCAACATCTATGACACTCTTTAATAATCTTACAAGACCAACATCTATGATACCCTCTAATAATCATTCAAGACCAACATCTATAACACCCTTGGAGAAACATCTAAATGTGATCTAACTCATACACCAGCTAACCCTAATGTTTTGGAATATTGCACATGGAAACGTCTTAAATTATTATTATTGGGTTAAACTATTTTCAGGTCATTAAATTGTGAGCACGATTTTATTTTGATCATTAAATTAAAAATTTTATAAATTGTCAATTAAAATTAAATTGATTGAAAATATAAGTAATAAAAACCAAATATTTTATTATCTCAATTGAAACGATTCACGCCATCAATTACATTAAAATTTAATATGGCCTGATTGCGCTAAAATAAAAATTTAGTGATCTAATTGATAAAATTTGGAATTCAATGATCAAAATAAAATTGCACTCATAATTTAATAACCCAGAAGGTAATATACCTTTATTTAAACAAAATACCGTAATTAAATACATTTTCCTCAATCTTTTGTTTTCAAAGAAAACCAATACTCAGTATCTGAAACTTTTTATTGAAAAACAACAGGTTAATGCCTGACAAAGTGGCCATGCCTTGTCCTATGTTCCTGTATGTCTAAACACATGAACTTAAACCGACTTTTGTTAATTTGATGCCAACACGAACAAGGCCTTATTGAGTAGCAACAAGGGCCGCCCAACCAATAAGTAGATTTCCATCGATCGCCTCACTACTAAATCTTCTCGCCCATGGAAAACATTTTTCGCTTCATCATTACTGGTTTTTATTGCAGGGTTCTGCACTATCATCTTCTAGTTCATCCTCATCTTCAATGGGAATGCCTTCACTGTAATCACCTAATGAAAAAAAAAACGCTATCATAAATGCTAAAGGATGGTTCAGTCAAATTGTACGAGGCAAAGTTATTGCTATGCTGCACTCCACATATGCTCAAAACATTACAGAATTTACATTCTACCAGGTTCGAAAGCAAATGATCAATTATCCTACTCTTTTTTCCATTATCCAATTAAGCTGTGAACAAGATATTTGAACTCTTGAATGTGAGAGCACCAGTGGCATATTAAACACGAGAAGTAAAAGGTAATCCTACAATCGTGTTCATTCTATATTCGAATTGCATTACAATGAAGGTTAACAAAAGCCACCAAATATCAGATGAAGAGTCGATGCACCAAAACCAAGTGGAACAAATGAAATAAAAATTTCTTACCCCTTTGAGTCGATGATGCAGGAGCAGGACAATCCCTGGATCCCGATACATTATCAAGAACATAAGGAAGATCTAGCAATTCCAAGAAAGATAGAGTCTGAGGATTATGGGGAGAACCTGCAAAGGATATAAAAGTCACAACCATTCCAATTGCAAATCCAAAATAAAAAGGAATGCATAAGCTAAACAACAATCAATTGAGCTAAAAGAACAAAAAATGAAGAATATTGATTGATAGTAATATCGAGATGTCGAGTCATAACAGTGATAAGTAGCATACACATATCTGAAATTTTAGAACCGTTATATATAAAATTTCTTGACAATGATGAGAGACTTAGCTATATCATTAATATAGGTACCTTTAGCACCTTAAAAAGGAAAAGTATCAAAATATCACTATAGTATTTACCAGGATGATAAACAAGTCTTACCAGAAAAAGTAGTGTTTGAAACTGAATGGGAGGGGTTGTAAGGTGGAACAGTTTGAGAAAATTCACAAGGTTTCGCTCCTTTCTCTTCCAGTCTGCTATTAACCCATTTACGACAATCCTGCATGTCAAGCGGTGTACTTCTGCATATTAGAACAGCACTTGTTGGCTCACTAGTTCTTAAAGGGTAATAGGAATTGCAAACAGTCCAATAGAAAGTTGTTCATCTTTAAATAATACACCAGTCCAACCCCACCCAAGAGACAAAGAGAGAACAAGATAAGTGACATGGTCAAAACAAAAGTGCCATATATACACACCTAAAGTCTCCACATCGGTGGTCAAAGGGAAGACACAGTTGAATTTTCGTGTTATTGCCAGCCATTCTTCATCATATTGAACCTCATAAGGTCCTGGATCAGATTCAATATCAACAATCTAAAAGATCAGAGAAAGTCAGAATTCATATATTAGCTTCAAGAAAAGACCTGAGAAAGAACCTAGAGGAAACAGTCAAAACTTATGAAAGATACATGCAAGAACTTGCGCCCAGGAAGGCATTTATCAAGTGCAAGAAATTTTGTCGCTTGACCACCCTCTTCATGCTGAACAAGAGCAGTGAATTTGCAATGCAAGTGAGCTGAAAACCAATAAGGTGGTTTGAGTTTTTCGAGCAGCTGAGCAGCAGGCTTGCTTCCAAGAGTTTCTTGCTGGATCTGAGAAATAACCAACAAGGAACCGGGATTGGTCAACAAGAAAACTGAATAAGCTTGTTATGAGATAATGCACCAAAGGCAGATTATAAGAAAATTGTGATTCCTATACATCTATCCATTTCAACGAAATCAATTACAATTACCTCATCTTCGAAATGTTTCTTGTGGCGAATGAGCTGTTTCCAGTTCCCATAATCAGTGATGCCAAGTGGCCAATCATGTGAAAGAAAAATATCAATTGGTTCCTCCACCTGCATGAGTTTGTGAACATCATACTCACGAACATGGTACACAGACCTGATGGTATTATCATTATAAGGTGGCCTTTCATGGTGTCCTGCTCAACAGAAAGCTAATTTGTTTCAGTTTCAAAGCTTTCAAACTTATGTAATAACAGAGACTCCACCATACGATGTCATTGACTCACTTGTTTTTAAATAAACAATCACCTTTGGAAGCACTAAAATAAACACAAACAACAAGAACTTCAACCAACCTAAATGGTAGTGACGTGCATTGTAAATTCCAGAAAGTCCACCAATTCGGATATTGCCAAACTTCACAACACCAGCAAACCTCAAGAAGTATATATTAGGTGCTGCCCATCCCCCATAATACCTATTGAGCAAAAAAGAGACCACACATTTCAATTGCAGAACTAAAGATTTAAGACGTTTTCAGGGGGGAAAAAGAAGCAAAATACCCAAGCTAGAGCATTTATCACACTTAAAGCTATGCAACCCCGACCCACCCAAAAACTTTGAACTGGCTTGAACAAGCTGGCTTACAATTCCAATAAATAATTGGAAGCTTCATGATTTCCTCCAATAAATATGGTGGGAACCGGGGCAACCTCCTGACCCGAATAGTATTTCCAGAATGACTTCATCTCCTTATACTTTGGGGGCACATTAAGGCTCTCCATATCTTTCTCATTCCTAATTGCCTAAGTTGCAAAATAAAAAATTAATAATAAAAGACAAGTTAAAATCAGAATTGGATACTTGAAAAAAGAAAAATTTTCGTCAAGATTGAAGCGAGAAACTGAGAGGAAGAACCTGGAAGTCACCACAACAGAGGAGGAGGTCGATTTTGATGTTGCGAGTGTTTTCAATGTATTTAATGGTTTCGTACACCTTGTCAAGATCTCCGTGCATACACCCTTCCACTGCTATCTTCATCTTTTGGAGTCTCCAAAATTTTCTTCCGCCTTTTAATGGAGTCTGCAGAGTTTTCTAAAGCTTAACTTATGTGGTTTGATCCCTATATTAAATTTTAATTCTATATAGTTTATTTATTTATTATTTAGTTAATTTAAATAGTTAATACCGCTTAGTATTCCGATCAAGATGCTAAGGTCGATCTTTCATTAAAAAAACTAAGGGTAAACCACACAAATGGTCGTTAAAGTTTTGGTTTCAAATCGAACTTTCAAAAATTATAAATTAATCATTAATATTATTGATTTGTAATAAATCGGTCACTAAACCGTTAATAACCGTTAAGTAGGTGACAAAAAACTGAGCTAACACGTTAAACCGATGACCTAGAATCGTTTTACCACATGTTTGACTTTCCAAAACTTTTGACGGTGTTCTTCTCCTCCTTTTTTTTCCTCCTTCAAAACCATACCGTGCAAAGCAATACGTTGATAGCTCAACAGCTTACCATAATTGACTAAGAGTCTTCTCTATACTATTATAGTTAAAAGTGCAGCATTTTGAATGCCCAACAATCGTCTCTAAACTCTCCTTGCTTTCTTAAAACTTTGTGAAAGTTAACGGTGTGGAGATGATGACGGCGGTAAAGAGGGCTTTGCAGACAATCCGTGAAAGAATTATTCGCACTTTCTTGAGGAGATCAAGGAAGATGGCTTCACGAAATGCTTCTTCTCTTCTTCCCTGTTCTTTTTCTCCTTCCTCACGAAATGCTTCTTCTCTTCTTCTTCTCTACTTAAAAACCATGGTGATTCTTCTCTATTAATCTCATAGAGATTAAACAAATAATACTATGATGTAAATATTAAAAATATATTAAATTATACTTGTATAAAAAATAACACGTTATTTGACTCTTAATCCGGTAGTTTATGATATGGTAGTTCTGGCGGAGCTTACCGCGGCTGTTATGGCTTTACTGAAGCACAATGATTAAAGTTAACACACTATTCGTTCATTAGCTATTGACAAAAAGCTGAGTGATCGCATAGTACAACTAGTGGACACAGGTGTCCATGGCGACGCCATAAAAATAAGAAACAAATAATATTTGCTTTAATATAAGAATCCACGGATGTCCATGGTTTGTAATTGTATTTTTTTTTGGTGCCAATAAATAATCAAGGGTAAGCTCATAGTTGCTGTTAGCTTTATCGATCAATTGAAAACCATCAAGAGGGTGAAATGACCTTTGATAATTTTGTGGTGGAAACAATCAAAAATAAAAAATTTGTACAACAATTTAGATTGGTTCGATTTCTAAACCAAGTCTGCATCCATTACCTCAGCTATCCACAGTAAGGATTTCTCAAATCCACTAGATTTGCAAACCTTTGAGGATAATGTGTAACCTTACAAATACTTCAAGGTTTATACTCCAAAACCTTGAATGCACACTCTCCCAAAGAGATTACAATCTCACAAAGACAAATATGTTTGCACAAATTAAGCACTCACAAAAAATACACTTGAGCCAATTTAACAATGCAGCTCACAAGTATGTTATAAAGAATTTGACAATTTTTGCTCTAAAAAACTAATGAAGTTGATTTGATCTTGCAATTTACTTTTTTGTTGTTCTCCATTTGAATCTTGGTCCCTTTTATGTCTTCTAACATCAATCTAGCCGTTTGAAGCCGTTGGGGAATGAATAGAGCCATTAGATTCATTAATTTTGAGCATTTAATGCTCACCTGCACATTTGGTATCGATGCCACCAAGTTGGTCTCAAGACCAAGCCTTCCAACAATCAAATTTATAGCCGTTAAACCTTTAATATCGATCCTATTTGAATTAGTATTGATATCAACCCATCGGTCTCGAGACCGAGACCATGGTATCAATACTAAAAAGCATTTTGGAATTTGATATCGCGACTGCCATAATGATCTCGAGACTGGAAAGTGTTTTGACTAAAAATCAAGTGTTTTGAGCTTAAAAATGATATTTATAAAATATTAATTTACTCAATAACACTTGTGATTATTTTTCACACTTAAAAAGGTTTTAAAATTGTTTATGACAAATTATTTATAAAATTGAGAAATGCAAATTTTAACAATTTAAAACATTAAACAATTATGTTATATCAAAATCAAAAAATTAGTTCAACGATCTCCCCCTTTTTGATATAACAAAACTTTTTGTGAAAATCTTGCTTTAAGAAATTTATTTGTTATATTTTATGAAAAATAAACTTTCCCCTTAGAAAAATAAGTTTTGGCTAACAAATTGCAAATTTTACACATACATATTTCTCCCCCTTTTTGTTGTAACCAAATAAAATTAATCTTCAAAAAATAAAATATATTAGTGTAATAGGTAACTCAAATATTCAACATAAAGAAAAAAAATTCAAATTATGCTTAACATAAAATAATAAAGTTCATAAGCATAAGATCAAAAATCAATAGTTCAAACATAAATCCATAAAGTACCAACATAAGAAAGTATCAAACATAAAATAACATAAAGTTCCAAAATAAGTCATAAAATGCATAAGTCCAAAAAACATAAAAATGCCTATTTTTCTGGATGTGGTGGCAAAGGATAGGGAGGCATCAAGTGATGACGTATCAAACGAATGTCATTCTCAAGCGCATCCAAGTGAGCATTTATGTTCCCGAGTCCTTGAATTACATGATCGTAAAAGGTTTTCATCGATATCTCCTCTTAATATGGGGGCACCAATGGCTCTTCTAGTTTTTTCTTCCTCCTCTATGTCGTCCAAGTTTTATCTTCTAAAAGGACACCACTCACCGACATCAAAATTCCAATTGGCCTTGTGGTCTGATTTGAGATTGATGACACTAATGAGAGGAATAGGAGGATCAAGGGCGGTAGGTACTCTAAGCTTCTCCTTAAAGATGTAGCTAAGAATACAAGCATAGGGAAGAGTCTTGTTGTAATTGACTCCTTTATGGACAACATCAACAAGGTCTAAGAATATGATCTTTGTAAAGTTTGGACGGATGTTGTTCTTAATATGATAAAACCACTAATAGTCGCAAGAGCACATATGGGTAGCCTTACCACTGGAAGGACGAAAGAACCAAGTAATGAGGAGCAATAATAAATAGTTGGGAAAATCAAGAGAGGTAGGGCTATCATTTGGGAATCTCTCCATTTGAACAAATGAGTTTTCTTTGAAAGGATCATCATCATTATTAATGATATTCAAGTAAGAAGCAATGAAGGATAAACTAAGAGTAAAAGTGCGACCCATGAGATACAACTTAATCCCAACGATTCTATCCTCATTACCTTCAACATGGCTAAGAATAACATTAGATAAGAAAACACGAACAAGGTTTGATTGAACATTGGGAGGAATGCTAAACAAGTCTAACCAACCCCACAAAATGAAGGTTTCGAAGATAGGGAATTGATACACCCATGACATAAGAAAATTAGGGTCTATAATATGCTCATAATGAATTTGTTTAGTTTTGTAAAAGCGATTAAATATACTAAGAGCATCGGGGTTCATAAAGCAAGCATTTCAAATCTTGCAGAATTAGAGGATTGACTTTCGAGGATAGTACTACTAGTCCCAGGACGCTTGTTTGAAGTTTTAGGATGTATTTTTATAAAGAAAATTAATTCAACAAAAGGATTTTTCGTTTGGGAATTTTATAGAACACTTAGAGGAAAAAAATTAAAACAGTGATTCTAGGTAAAAAAAATGATGAATGGGTTAACTTGCTGCAAGAGAAACATATAAAATGCAACCCAATAAACCAATTAATACCCTCAATTTTGTTTAAAAAATGCATAAATGTTTTTAAAAAATTGAAACCCTATTTAAACAATTTAAAATAATTTGTGCGATAATCATGAAGTGTAGGTAAAAAGATAGTGTTTAAAGATATTATAAACAAATCTAAAGCTCAAAACCATATTGACAACATGATTATCATGAAAAAATTGAGCATAAATTTCTAAAATAAAGAAGATAGGTTTAGAAGAGATTACCTCAAAATTTGATAAAAAATAGCGATGATGATGATGTAAATCCACTAAGGATGATGAAAGAGTGAAGATTTAAGCACGAATTTATAGAAATATTGAGTGGAAATAAGAGATTTTTGAGAGGGCTTTCAATTTAGGGTTGAAAAAATGGTAAAAATAGTCATTGTTTTTGGGAAAATAGATTTTTATTGCATACAAAGCCCTCAGTCTCGAGACTCCCTGTCCAGTATCGATACTAAACAGTCGGTATTAATACCATTTTTGGCTACTAGAATTTTGGTCTTGATACCAATATGTTGGTCTCGAAATAAACTGCTTGAAAATGTCAAATTTGACATTTTTAACCCTCAAAAGCTTATAGAATATGCACCTAATGGTTTTAATACTATAGAATTCACCATAAACTTATTTACGCACTAAAAATATAATTTTATACTAAATTAAAGAGTTTTCCTATGCACTTTACTCGAGTGTATATTATGGACTTTTTAAAGAATTTTCTAGTTAGAATAAACAAGGTCCAAAACGTACCATAAAGATTAAATTAAGGCCAAAGGATAGCAAATTAAGCATACAAGGCTACAAAGATACGATCTATGAAATATTAACTCCCCCTACCTAATTGTAATTAAGCACTATGTGAGGACACACAATCAAGCCCAAAAATATATCATGTAAAATCACAAGATTACATGAAAATGAAATATTTAACCACTTGAATTAAGGTTGTCTCCCTTTTTTCAAGTGCACTTCCTCAGTGTGTTTTAGAGCCACCAAATAGCTTGGCATTGCTCACCATCGCTCTAACACACCTATGATAGACACTTGCACGATTTTTTAGTACCCAAATTACTTTGGGTCTCTCCGCAAATTGTGACTACTAAATATGGTCGCGAAAATATGTGGAACTATACACAATCGAACAAGTAATACAATAATGAGTGAGTATCGTATCCATAGGGATTGGAGGAAATTTATAAGTTAGTCAAAGGAGTTAACTACTTTACCTAAGTATAGTTAGTGATGGTATG